GCCGGAAGCGTGAACGACTAGGCGATGCCCTCATCCTGGCAGAACGTCTCAAGGACGCCAGAGCTGAACTCACCACCCCTGTCAGAGTGCAGACGCAGGACTGGGAAGTCCTACTGAAAGCGGTCGTGCAGCTGAAGACGAGTAGCACGGATCCAGGGGATCAAAACACCACTGACGTCCATCTTGCGACGCAAGGGGAAGACGGTGGTGTAGCGTGTGTAGTTGTCAATAACTAGCAGGAAGTAGCGCTCTTGGTCCGTTCCACCGACGGGGGCCGGGCCCCACACGTCCAGATGGAAAGTCTGCAGAGGAGCAATGGTTGGAGGAAACTCGGAGGAGTGAGGAGCGGCGCGCTGCCGCCCCTCGACGCAAGGAAGGCACGGCGGCGCAAGCCGCCCCTCGGCGCAAGGAAGGCACGGCGGGGGGCAGGGTCTCAGGGAGGCCAGAGACCAGGAGCCGGGAGTGCATGCCGCGCAGACGCTGCAGGGAGGGGTGACCAAGACGGTGGTGCGAGCGTTGAATCTCGTGCGTGAGTACTCGACACGAGCAAGACGCAGCTAATTGCCCTGACGCAGACGCTCGACTCGACGTAGCTACCTGACTTGACTCAGCCACCTGTGCAGACGCAGTGGTCAGTGTGTACAGACTAGACCCAGGCTGTCGAGTGAACGCAGCCAGGTGACGGCCAGTCCGGGAGCACGTACAGATCGCCACACGCTGCCCTCCAGGAATAAAGGTATCAACCCAGACATCCTAAATGGCAGCGTCGCTCACCAAGTTCGTCGAGAACGTGGGGAGGTGGAGACCTGACAAAGAGCCTGAGGGGACTGCTGAACAAGGGAGGACCGTGGAGGCTCTCGCAACCACTGGGCCCCCAAAGGGTTCAGCCAATGAGACTGGGACAGGTGCTGTGAGTGGTGTGACTGTGGTGCAATCACAGAAGAAGCAACGTGTCGCGCCGGAGTTAAGCGTGAAAGTGTGCAAGACCTCAGCTGAGGCAGGACCTGTGGTAGTAGACGCACTAGCAACTAGAGCGCCAGTAGACTCACGAGCACCTAGAGCTGCAGCAGACTCACTAGCACCTGAAGTGGCAGCAGACTCACTAACACCTGGAGTGGCAGCAGACTGACTGACACCTGGAGTGGCAGCAGACTCACTAACACCAAGAGCAGCGGTCTTAACAGAACGATAACCTCCACCACCAAGATGACCTCGCTGAATAACCCACTCACGAAGCTACCAAGGGGTGGGGTCGTCCGGGAGAAGCAGTGCCCGCTGCTGTCCACCCCTGGCCGCAGCGACTGCCGCGGAAGTGGCCATGACAGACAGTGACTGTCAGGAGTAGGTCCAGCACCTCCAACTCCTACAGCGCCAGCAGCACCTCCTGCACTCCCAGCAGCACCTCCTCCACTCCCAGTAGCACAAGTAGCAGCAGCAGCAGCAGTGGTAACAGCAGCAGGGCGGTTCGGTGGGGGTGGGAGGCCGCACCTCCACCACTCCCAGCAGTACTCCCTCCAGTAGCAGCAGTAGCAGGGCGGCTCAGGCAGCAGCAGCAGATCAAGCAGCAGCAGTAGACCGAGTAGCACTAGCTGTAGCAGTTGTAGTTGCAGTAGCAGCAGCAGTGACAGCTCGGGCTGGGCGGCGCGGCTCGGACACAGTGGCAGAGCAGCAGTAGCATTAGCTGTAGCAAGTGCACTAGTAGGAGCTACAGCAGTAGCACTAGCTGTAGCAAGTGAAGTAGTAGGAGCTGCAGTAGTAGTACTAGCTGTAGCAGCAGTAGCTTCAGTCAAGAAGCAGTAGCTTCAGTCAGGAGCAGTTGTAGCAAGTGCTAGAGTAGGAGCTGCAGCAGTAGCACTAGCTGTAGCAAGTGAAGTAGTAGGAGCTGCAGCAGTAGTACTAGCTGTAGCAGCAGTAGCTTCAATCAGGAGCAGCTGCAGTAGGTGCTGGAGTAGAAGCTGCAGCAGTAGCACTAGCTGTAGCAGCCATAACTTCAGTCAGTAGCAGCTGTAGCAAGTGCCGTAGTAGCAGCAGCAGCAGTAGCACTAGCTGTAGCAACACTAGCTTCAGTAGCAGCAGCAGCAGTGAGTAGCGCTAGCTGTAGCAGCAGTAGCAAGGAGGAGCAGCTGCAGCAAGTAGCAGCAGCAGAAGCAAGGAGGAACAACTGCAGCAAGTAGCAGCAGCAGTTGCAGGGCAGTACAGGTGGCAGCAGCACTGCAGCAGCAGTTCAGGCGCAGCAGTGTAGCAGCAGCAGCAAGTGCAGCAGTAACACGGGCCGCGTGCGGGCCAGGCGCGGGCTTTACGAGCTGGGTGCGGGCCTGACGTGGGCTGTACGGGCTGCGCGACGGCCTGGCGCGGGCTGTACGGGCTTCGCGACGGGCCTACGCGGGCTGTACTGGCAGCTAGGGCGCGGTCAGGGGTGGTCGCACGTAACTAGGAAGGAAAATCGCGTCTAGGGCAGAAAAAGGAACCGTCTCGCCTAGAGCACGGTTTCGAATTTCGCGTTTCTCCTAGGGGCGCGTCTCGGGCAGTAGATCGAAATAGTAGTGGTGGGCCCTTTTAAAAATTCGGTCCTAAGGAGCATTGTGCTCTTACGGTAATACCATGTTAGAATCACTAGCTAGGTGAGGAGTGGGGTTAGGTAAGGGAGAGAGAGTACAAGAGTATCGAGAGAATTGGGTTGTACCCTCTAAGGGATGACCCCTACACAACCTAGAGTGAAATAGACATAGCTCTATGTTTTGACATGTTTCGTAGGTCAACGGCGATGGTCGCAACAGTGGTTGCTGTCGTAGTTGGGCGACCAACCCCTTGTTCAGAAGGATGTTCCACGCTCCGAGGGTGCATAAAACACTGCAAATATCCGCAAAACCTTCCAGTAACATCATTACCCTTTTTTGGGATGAGGCAGCCCTGGACAACTAACTAATTCAGGTGTGAATCAGAGGCACCACCCTGAAAACATTTCACTTCAAGGCCTACTTTCGTAAGTTCAGCAGGGTACGTGGATAATTTGCTGCATTGGTGCAGTGGAGGGTATGGAACAAGCGAGAGCCATGCACGGAGCAAGCCTGACGAGAGGGGCATGGATGCAAGCTAGAGGATGAAGGGGTGACGGGTGGGCAAGGGGCATGCAGATGCGGGGGGGGCAGAAACAAGAAGCACACTGGGGCATAGGTGGCGCAGGCCGGGGCTTACTTTATCAGACATTTTTTATCTGAATTTCTGGATTCTGAACACATTTTTACTGGTTCATCTGATGTCGCAGACATGCTGTTTAATTTCGTCTGATTTTTAAGAGAAGCTTTTTCTATTCATCTGATTTCTCAGACAGCCTTATACAGTTCATCTGAGACTGCAGATATAGAGTCTTTTTCGTCTGAAGGCAAATTCTCGAAGGATGTCTGCACCTGCCTGGCAGTAGCAGGAGACAAGATTCCAACTGGAAATCTCAGTTTTCACAACTCTCTATTCTACTGGCTGGAGCATTAGGGCTGGTACCTGACTTCCCTATTCATATTTTGATAGTATATTGCTTGCTAGCTTTATATCTTCTCAGAAATCTCAGACAAGTATTTAGGATTCGTCTGAAAAGCTAGACAATGTTACAGCTTTCGTCTGACAATCAGACAAGGAGCCAGGACCCGGTCTTGACATCAGACGGGTCATTTTACTAAAGTTAGCCCGCCGCAGGCTAGAGTAGAGACATGAGTCAGGCAAAGGGGGTCGTGGGAACCGGCTTGGGAAAAGGAGGGGGGAGGGAGGGGCATGGGGTGGGGTAGAGCGAGAGGAGGAAGGGGGGAAAGAAATTGTGCAAGGGGTGGTGCATGCTTGTGAGGTGTGCGTGCAGGGGCCAAGATGTGTGGATAAGGAGTGTGGGGTTGGAGCAGGGAAGGGGACAGGCAGGGGAATGGTGGGGTGTCATAACCAGGGCTCTCGTTATCAGACCAAATTGGTTTGATTTTCTGATTTTCAGACCTTGATTTTTGTTTTCATCTGATTTTCAAGACGAGGATTTTTACTTCGTCTGATCTGTAAGATTATGAATTTCAGTTCATCTGATTTTTCAGAGGAAGCCTTATACTTTGTCTGAAATTTCAGATAGGGGGTTGCATTTTGTCTGATATAGACCCCAATCCCCTCTCCCCCCCCCACCCCCCCTTCTCCCCCCCCGATCCCTCGCTTCTCTAACAGCGCAGCCCCCCATTTGATGCCCTCGCTCCTCGTCCCTATATTACTGGCCTAGTCCAGCCCTTCTCCCCCTTTCCCCCAGCCTTAGGTCCCCTCCCCACGTCCCCGCTCCTAGCCTAGCCCGATTTCCTCTGGAAAAGTCTCGCAACAGCCCAACACCCCCAGCCGAACTCCCCCGAAGTCCTTGTCGCAGCCCAACACCCACCCCCCTGCCCTCAGCATGCCGCGAGCTGCCAAACAACCTTCCACATTTAGGTTGTGTCGCCCTGAATCGATGTACGGTAATACACTACACGACGCAATTTGAAAAAAAACAGGCAGCACTATCTATTTCAGCTGAAAAATCAGACGTGGCGGTTGCGCTCGTCTGAAAGTTCAGACTAACCTTTTTTCCTCGTCAAAACATCAGACCAAACGAAATTTTTTTAACATGTCTTCAGACGGGCTTGAATCCTAGCAAGAGCCCTGGTCATAACGCGTGCAATATTGCCGTAGGTGGTGAAACTTTGAGCAGCGGGAGGTGCAAGAGCATACACCGTCCTAAGAGAACACCATACCACACCCACATAACCCCACAAATTACACCATAACAAAAGGTACAAAGTTCCTTCTCTTGTACAATACACTATTAACTGGCGTGCGTTGAAGCGTTACGGACCCGCAAAGTAACCAGGGAACAAAATGGGATAAAAAAGAAAGGAGGGGAGGGGAGTGGGGAGAGGATGGGGGAGGTGGAAGATATTCCAAGCAGTGCGGTAAACCACATTGGAGACAATACTGGTAATACCAGACCTCGTATGTACATGGCAGGCTTAATTTCTGTTGCCGTTGCTGCAGCCTTCAATGAACGGCACTGTGTCCCAACAATGCACCTGCACACAACACAGAACAACAGCAAGCCAGGTCCGTGATGCGAACTCTCACAGGCAAGTGAGGTGGTGGTAAGGGAAGGCTAGGTTCCAAGGCCGTTGATAGAAAAGAAACAATCGAGGCAGAGAAAACAAAAAGAGTGGGGAACGAACGAGATGGGGGAAGGGGTGGGAGAATGAGAGGATCGGGGGGGAGGGAGGGGGAGGGGAGGGGAGGGGGGTAGGGGAAGGAGAGGGAAGGGAGGCATGTGGTAACTTTGGAAACCGGCCGCATGAGCACTCACAGGATTGACCGGGCTATTGTTGAGCTTCTCAGCGGCATGAATGCTTGTTCTCCACCTGGTAAGCCTCTGCCTGCGGATACACTCCCCTCCCGCCCCTCCCGCTCCTCCTCCTCCTCGTTCTCCACCATCTCCACTCACACTGCCGCCTCCCACCCCAGCTGCTACCACTGCTCCTTCTGTTCCTGCTGCTTCCTCTGCCTCCTCCGCTTTCCCTAGAACGGTTGCTGCTGCTGTGCTGGGTAGCTGCAAGCACACCAGTGGCGACTCAGCCTCACTGCATACAAGGCCATTCAACTCAATTAACGAGCACTGCTCCATGCTGCTTGCAGCAGTGGTGCCTGCACGAGAAGGAGTATGGGCATGACCATTAGCATGATCATGGGCATGGGCCGAAATGCATGGCAAGAAGCAGGGTCTCTCAGGTATGAGAGCCGTGTCAGCCGTGGCGTTGGCAGAGGCGGCGGCAGTGGCGGTGGCTGTACCAGTGGTGATGCCGGTGCTTCTCCTGCTGCTACCGCCGGCGCTGATGCTGGTGTGTGTGGCGTGCGTGGTGCGCACAGGGGAATGATCTGAGGGGCAGAGGGAGAAGGAGACGACTTCACAGGGCACCTCGGCCTGGCTTGCAAGGGACACCACCTGCTGTGTGCCCACACCTGCCAATGCTTGCGGTCCCTCCACTGTCACTGCAACCATGGAAACTGTCACTGATACTAGGGCTGCTGATGTAGCAGCAGCGGCAGCGGGAATAACAGTAGCATCGGCAGCAGAAGCAGCAGCAAGAGAAGCAGCAGCCGGAGAAAGAAAAGGAAGAGGAACAGGAGGAGAGGACAAGGGAGAGTCACATAAAGAGCGAGGGCGGGTGCGTGCACACGACCCCCCCCAATGCCTTTTCCCATGGCTGGCAACGCGTACAGGGCCTGCCACGCCTTCACGGGACAAGTATAGGGACTCGGGGTGTGCTGGAGTGGGCACAGCAACAGCTTCCATGGCACTGCTAGGGTGCTCACTGCTTCTGGGGACAGAGCAAGTGGCAGCACCAGTGGCAGAGGCAGGGGCAGCGCAGGTGCCAGTGCCAGTGGCACCGGCAGGGGCAGAGGGGGCGGCAGAGGTGGCAGCGGCAGTCGGAGAAGCAGTGATAGTGGCAGTGGCAGCGGCAGTGGAAGCGGCAGTGGGAATGGGAGTGGCAGTGGCAGTGCAGCTGGTTGCGAGGGCCAGCAAGTGAAGAGACTGCAACACATCCTCCTCTTCCTCCTCCACATCGCCACACTCTTCTTGTCTCTCCCCACCCTCCTGCTTCTGCAGATCCTCCTTCCCCTTGTCGACTTCCATTGCAGAATCCCCCCCCCAAACCTCAACCTCCTTCCCTTTACCCTCGTGTACCTCTCGCTGTCCCCCAACACCCTTTCCCATGCAACAGCGCTCTCCATTTCCTACTCTGCCCTCTTCCATTTCAGCACCACCACTCTCACCGTCCCCACACTCTCCTCCCCCCATCTTTCCCCCACGCCCTCCCCCACCGAAGCTTCCCCCACTGCGCCTCCTACCCAAGCCCTCCATGAACCCACTCGTTCCTATTCCAAACCCCGCCACCACTTTCCTTTGACCTACTGCTTTCCGTTGCGATGGGAGGAAGGGCCTGGTGCGGGCAGCAGACCCCTCTGCTGCACGTATGCACTCTTCCTGCATCCCCAGCTGTGCTTCAGCATGCACATGGGTAGCACCCAGGATAGCTGGCACTTCCACTCCACTGCTTCGTTTCTTCCGCTCGAGCTCAATCACCCCTTCTCCTCCTGCTGCTCCTCCTGCTGCTGTTCCTTCTCCTATTGCTCCGCCTCCTCCTCCTCCTCCTCCTCCTCCTCCTCCTCCTCCTCCTCCTCCTCCTCCTCCTCCTCCTGCCGCTGCTTCTCCTGCCGCAGGGGCATCTCTAACAAAATCTTTGAGGCTCTGTAGCGTGTGCACCTCCTCTGGCCTTGCTCCTCCCAGCTCCGTCACAGCAGCAGCACCCGTCCCTCCTTCGACCCTGCAAGGCACCCACACGCCTTCCTCTCTACTCCCTTCCACCACCACTTGCATCATCAGCCCATCTCCTCCTGCCTCCCTGTTGACCTCTTTCGATGCGTGCCCGCTTGATCGCCCCTTTTGCTTTCCCCACGCCATGAGCACATGGGTGCGTGCACTCCACATGCCATCACTCCCACCTGCACCACCATCATCACTACCAAACTTGCCCGCAACATCGCCCTCTCCCGCTGCTGCTCCTGCTGTTTCACCAAACGCCAGCTCTTCACCTCCAACCCTCATCTCAGCCACTCCTACAGCCTCGACCCCACTCTCCCCTGCAGACCTCCCCGCGCAAGGCCCAACCCGTGACTCTGGAAAGAACCCCACTCGCACCTGCACTCGGCAGTCCCTAGCCTTGCCCTCCCACACTCGCATTCTCGACCCCACAGCCTCCCCTTCATCCCCTCCTCTTATGCCTCCCAACCCCTCGCTTTCTAGGACCGCCACTGCTACACACCCCTCCTCACCGGATTCCCCCTTTTCTAGTTCCTTCTTGCTCGAGCTAACCACACACCCGTTTCCTTCACGTTCTTCCCCCCCTACCCCAGCTTGCCTCGCATCCCCCGCTTCCCATGCATTCCCCAGGCCATGGGCACGGTTGCATTCAGTCTGCTGGTCTGGAGACCCATCCGTCATCCCAGCAGCGAGCCCGCATGCAAGCAATCCATGCACAAGCGCACCTCCGCCCCTGCCTTCAACCTCCAAGGGTCCGATACAAGGCTCATGTGCACGCGCCCCCCCATGCCCCTGTGCCGCTGCATCTGCTGCCTCTTCCTCTTGCGCCCACTCAAGCGCATGAGCAGGTGCAGGTGCACATGCGTCTGGGTGAGTATGTGCATGTGTGTGTGCACATGCCAGTGTCACTTGATTCGCATGCCCGTGCATGGCATGACTGGCAGGTATCGCATCGTCCGAGTCCCATAGCGCCACCTCAACAGCAGCACTCAGAGCAAATAACCCGTCCAAACCAGCAGCCCCATCCACTCCACACTTCGCACCCAAACTAGGAGCATCAGCAACCCCAGAGGTCCCAGCCACCCCAGAATTCCCTCCTTGTAAACAGCATTGAAGGGTGTCAGAACCCCCTGCCTCCGTCCCGTATGCCTCGCCTTTCTCCTCCCAACCACACTCCACACCCTTAACCGCCCCTGGCCTGCTTTTGAGCGCCTTGAGTGCATTCTGCCTGGGTCCACACGGCAGAGCACGAGCACAAGAGCCCAGGTCCCCCACTCTCCCTCCCTCATCACCCCCCTCGTCGCTTCCACACTTGCGCTCACTCCTACAGCCACTCCTGGTGCTGCTCTCGCCATAACCACAACTAATTGGGATTGCCTTGTCATGACATCGCCTCGTGCTACCCAAGTCCTCGCTCGGTTCTAATAATGCCAACTCTACGCCCCCACTCCCAGACTGCCCGCCAAAAAACCCCTCCACGTCCACGCCTCCCCCCTGCACACTCAGAACAGTACATTCCGGCCCTCCCCCCCACAGCAGCTGCTGCTGCTGCTCCCGCTCCTGCTGCTGCTCTTGCTGCACGTACCCTTGCAGGTGCTGCTGCTCCAGTCCCACTCCGCTACAGTCGTCCAGAGCGAATTCAACCACCACCTGCACTTGCACTGATTGCCCCTCCTCGCCCATCTCCCCGCCGTCACACCCCACCACGCCAACCACCCCCACGTCTACATCCACGCACCCACCACCATCCCCACAGCAAAACCGCTGAATTGCGCCCTCCCTTCCCTCTCCTTCCGCTTCCCCCTGCTCCCCCTCCCCCTCCCCATTCCCCTCTCCATCTCCCTCTCCCACTCCTACTCCCACGCCATTGTTCATAGTAGCAGCAGCATGAGCAGAAGCCAAGGAGTGCTGCCGCATCTTCTCCATTACAAGCTCCTGTGCGGATTGCAGAGGCACAAGAGACTGCTGCGACTCACCAGCAGACTCGCCCACACTGTCACCCACAACCTCGGCCATAAGGTCCCCCAAGGCTTCGACCACAAGGGGAAGGCTAATAGGCACTGCTGCTCCGCGCCCCTGCTCGACTTCACTAGCTTCCACGTGCAGCCGCTTGCTCTGGTCTCCCTTCACGCCCTCTCCTTCTTTGCCCCCTTCTACCACACGCAGTTGCGCTGCCACCACAGGCCCAATCGCCACTGCATCTGTTTCACAAGCCAACGCTTCTGCAGCTGCCGCCGTCCCTGCCGACCCCGCCCCTTCTACTGCTGCTGCTGCTGCTGTATTGGCAGCAGTGACAGGACCAGCGGGACAGATGCTCACACCACTCGAACTAGCAGCCGCACAAGTGGCCACAGCGGCTACGCAGCTCCTGGGATCACAAGGAGCCAGCGCCCCAGCAGCACACATTGCTCCGGCATCAGATAATGCCTCCGGCAGTAACAGCACCTGGCTTACCGCCCCCTCCCCTTCACCTGTCGCTCCTTGTGAATCCTCCCCAGCATGCTGTTGCTGTGTTCCACTAGCAACCAGTCTCTTCCCCTCCCCAATCGTTTCCCCACTATCAGGAAATGCATCACCGCAGTCATAAGGCCCTCGCTTGATAGAAGCCTGCTGCTCCGATGCTTCTTCTTGTTTTGGCCCTGCGTCTCGCCTGCACGTCCCTTCACGCCCCACGCTTGTCTCCCCTGCGGCTTCTGCTTCTGGGCTGGCGTGTAAGTATGGCTGTGTCTCTCCCTTGCGCGTCTGCTCCAGCAGTATTTCGCAATGCTGCTGCTCCGCACCCGAACCAGCATGCTCCTTTCCTGCCAAACCACACGATTCCATCGCCACTCCTGTGTCAACCTCTGCTAAACCCACACCCTCCTCCTTCACAAGACCACCCTCCTTCCCCAAAACCCAGAACCCTCGACAGTCCCCGCCCCCATCCCTGCACTCTCCAGCCTCCGCCTTGACCTCTACAAGCCCTGCCTTCGCCTCCTCTTCCCGTCCCACCCTCGCCCGCCTCCCACCATCAAAACCCGCCCGTTCAGCCTGTGACAACCGGGCTAATATTTGCCTCCCTTTCAGCTGCCCTGCCACAGAATGCACTCGGGCCCTTGCACATCCCCTCCCCGCGCCCTTCCCCACCACTGTCTCCTCCGCGCATGCCGCATCCCACCCATCCGCGCCTCTCCTCCGCCCCTTTTCCCTCCTCGTCCGCCTCTTCTGCGGCAGCAACACCAGCCTCTCGTTCCTGCCGCCCTTCCTCCCACTGCCTCCTCCCACCCACACCATCGCACGTCTCCTACTCCCCTCCTGCTCTCTTTCCTTCCCCTTCGTCCCACCCTCCTCCCGCTGCCACAATGACCCGCGATTCCCCCTTGCCACCCCGCCGCTTCCCGTCCCTACCTCGTCACTCTCTCCCTCCTCGTCCCCCTCCCTCTTCCCGTCCCCCCCGACCCCCCCAGCACGGCGTGATTCGCCAGCACTTAAGTAGCCGCCACTTGAATCGCCGCCAGAATCGCTGTGCGACGACTGTAAGCACGCCTGCGGGTCCACGTCTAGCAGACGAACGCCCTCTAGATCTACAGGCGGATCTGGCTCGCATGAGTGGTGGGAGAAGAAGCGCGCTGATAGATGCTGGCAAGGGGGAGTGCACGCGGGCCGAGGAAGGGCATCACGACCGGGAAGGCGGCCAGGAGAACCCATGGAAGGAGCAGCAGCAGCGGCGGGAGCAGCAGCAGCAGCAGCGGCGGGAGCAGGAGAAGGAGAAGAAGACGCAATGGCAGCAGTAGTGGCCGTGGCGATGGTGGCAGCAGGAGAATGAGGCGCAGTGGCAGTGGTAGTAGTAGCAGCGGTGGTAGTCGCGCAAAGAGTGGTGTCGGTTGCAGGGAGGGGATTGTCAAGCAACAACAGGGAGAGGTCAGCAGGGGCTGTGATGCGGAAGTGGCCCACATCCGCCTCGAACATCTGCCATAGGGACAGGGCATGAGCCTGTAGAAAGACCAGATATAATGCAAAAAAACAGGAGGTATAGGGCTTAGGGTTTTTTTTTCTTGAGACGCACTGGTGTGTATCTGGTGGCCAACTCAGGAATCTGGGTTTCTTTATTCTGCATGGATGTTGTGACAAACAACACATGCGACTGTCCAGGAGAAGCAGCAGAAGGAGCTGGTACGAGTGTAACAGAAGGCTAACAGCAGCTCACACTTTCGAGGCATTTTCGAGACATTTCGAGGCGTTTCGAGACATTTCCGAATGTGTGCTGCCAGGAGGGAGGCAGCAAGTGGTGGGAGGCAGGTGGCTTACTCGGAGGCAGTATCCGGCGGGGAGGCAGCGTGTGGCATCGGCAAACACAGCGCGCACATCGTCCACGAACGATGGCGGGTCCGCGTAGTACCCCGAGCTCAGCCGCGCCTGCCATGTGCAGGATGGCGCGACGTGGGAGTGGTTTTTTCGAGCATGAAATACAACATGTGGAGAACGGGAGGGACGTGTCAGTGGAGTGTTGAGTTGAGGCGCGTAGAAGATCGGATGGTGATATGCACGAAGTGGGGTTCAATGCTGGAATGGCCGCTCGCCTTCCAAGAGGCCGGAACATTAATGTGTGGGTTGGGGGTGTGCGAACGGGGGGCGGAGGGAGGAGAGGCAAGATGGAGGGCAAAACAATAGCAGGAGAAAAACGCGACAGGGTGGGTTGAGGATGGAGACGGGTGGGAGGGACGGGTTGGGGTCGGAGATGGGTGGGGACGGGGTGGGGATGGGGTGGGGGTGCGCTGAGGATGGGATGGGGATGTCGTGGGGCGAGGTGGGGCGAGGTGGGGCGGGGTGGAGAGAGAGAGAGAGAGAGAGACCTGTATAACGGAGAGGTCTGTTGGGCGGTCGACCGTGGCAGCATAGCAGCGCCGGGCATCTTCCGGCCAGAGATCCGAGGACGCCACTGGTGAGCTGAAGAAGCTGCCGATGCTGGTGATCGGTGAACGAACACAAGGGCGGGGAGGAAGCAGCACAACACGCAGCTGAAAACGTATTATGACACCAGCACTGGAATTTAAAACGGGTGGTGCGCTTTGGTCAAGCGGAAAGGCCTGCGGAGCAGACGAGGGCACGAGGCGACCATGTAGGGTGACCCACCAGCCAGCCCCTGTAGTCCCCCCCAAAGACACGGACCTGTGGTTCCTCAGGCGCAGCAGCAGGATGGCGCATCGCTGCAGGTCGCTCATTTCACAGTCATCGTCAGCTGCAGCGGCAGCGTCGTCCTCTCGCCGACCCCCCACGCCCGCATATGCATACTTCCCATGCCTCTGCCGCTGCTCCTTCACGTGCTGCTGCTGCTGATGATGTTGCTGCTGCTGCTGCTGCTGCTGCTGCTGCCGACGTCGCCTCTTCGCGCATGATATAAGCGAGATGTCCTGCTAACAAGTGCGAGGAACGATAGCGGGTTCAAGAGGGAAGAAACGCGAGGAGAACTCACAAGGTGCTGCCATGAAAGAACGCCAAGATTCCACATCTGCAACTTCAGAGGACTCTTAACCATAAAAGCTAACCAGTCTCGCCACCCCTTGCTCCCACTAACCGCCCACCCACCTACGCTTTCCCTTCACCTCTATTGACCCTACAAGCAAGCCACACGTTAAACCTCTCCCCCTCTCCCCTTTCCCCCTTGCCCTCTCCGTTCGAGCACCGCTTTCCAACCTATTCCCACGCTTTCCATGGGCTACAGACCGCTCTCCTTCATTGCGGCGTTAAACCCAACACCCCTCAGACACCCGACAGACCTAAAACGCCACAGAACCGCAAGAGGCAAAAACTAGGACACAAACCCCTCATCGAATGAAGATGACCCACCTGCTCGATCTCCTCCAGTTGAAGGGTCACTTGGCAGAAAGGCCGCTTGTAACCCCACCGCTTCTCCTTCCCCTTCCCCCCCCCGGCTGCTGCTGCCCCCCCAGCCACCTCCTCCATTACTGCCACGTCAGCCACTTCCGCGTTCGTGGGACCCGCAGTCACTGCAGGCCATTGGATGGCGCGAGCGCACTGCCCTTGCACTTGAAGCGAGAAATCTGTCGGGATAACCGAGGTGCTAATAACGCCTAGCGCGTATGCCTGTGTCGCTCCCTGCGCGGGCACCGCGGGCCTGGCCGACACGGATGCGTTACAAGCAGACGCGGTATACGCAAAGGAGGTAGAGAGGCCTTCTTCCGCTACGACCTGGAGGGCAGCTCTCGGTCTCCTACGGCTGTACCTGCATGCCAACCGTGCCAGGCGCGTAAACCCTCAGCCTCGACCATGCATGGGGGGCCAAAAAAAAACACACACAAACACAAGGAGGTGTCACGACAAACTTACACATATTGAGGGAGGACGTCGATAGTTGATGCGGCTGCGGCGGAGATTTCTGGCCCACTCTGCTCACAAGCATTATCGCCTGGGCTATCAGTCGAAGGATTCTTTTCCTTTATCCCCACAGTTTCCTCTGGTTCAACTGGCCTAGCCACCACCACCGTCGGCTCCTCTACACCCTGAACCTCGTCGGCAATGGGCTTGGAACACGGCTGCACCTGGAGAATGATACTGTTTTTTCCCCTTTCCGACGTAACCTCCGCTGGATCGATAGGAAAGTCGTCAACAGCGTCCTCTGCGCCGCTGCAGTCGGTTTCTGTGCGAACGCTCTCGCTGTCGCCGCTGCAAAGGCTTTCTTCGTCGGAAGTTTGCCCGGAGACGGTCCCGAAGTCGACGGCCAGAAGCTCCCAGGGCTCACTGCGGGATGGGAGCGGTGATGATGAGATGATGATGATGAGAGAATGCTGATAAGAACGACAAGAGACTTCATCAAGAGAAGGCTGTTATGGGAAACAGAAAACGCATAACCCAGACCAGAAAGCTCGTTCAGGCCAGAAATTCCCCAAGCTGAGCGATAAAAACCGTATCTGAGAAACGCTCATATCCCTTGGATTCGTCAAGCTGCTATGACGGTTGCAAAGTAGCTGCGGAAGTCAACTAAAGAGTAGAATGTGCGATGTTTCGCGTACCACATGCAATCTGGGGACCATATTGAGGCGGCTGGTGGAGCAGGTGTCGCCAGGCTGGCATGAAGAGCCATGGCGTCGGGACAGACCAAGACAGAAGCAAAGGCACGAAGACGGCACGCGGTGTGATGCAGCCAGCTCGTGACGAAAAGTAGGTCAATCGTAGCAGAAAGCTCAAGATGTGCGAGCCAGACAGAGATGCCGCAATGTCAATCTACATCCTGACCAAATTCTGAGAAACAAATGTGGAGGGAAAAGGCTAGCAAACGCAGATGAATGCCAGCAAAGGGGTGCCTGCCACTGCTGTTTCAAACCCTACCACACCAGTCCAGGGGGTCACTTGACGGAAAACTAATCTCAAGGCGGAAACGAACCAGTAGGTTTGGAACCTTGGTCATGTCCGACTGGCCTGAGCGAGCCTTTAGAGGTTCGTTTGGAAGGTGCTAAACACGGGCACCAAGGCTCGACAGAAGTACGAGCCAAACGTGTGTTGCGTACTAGGTTTCGGTTCGGGCTAGAAGGAACGATATACTGTAGCCCCTATGTGGTTCAAACGGAGTAGGGACGAGGCGCAACCAAATGTTTTGCAACCGTCTTCTGGAATGAGAAGGGCCAGAGCTGAGGTCATTCAGCCCATCCGTGTTCCCTTGCAACATGCCGTAACACCTTGGGCCTCTATCCAGAAAGCAAATTCTGGCAGGACGAAAATCTCCTAAGCCAATAGTGTGCGTGAACGGAGGTGGAGGAACCTCATCTACAGTAATTTGGAACCAGAGGTGTAGGAGGAACTTTTCGGCTCGTACTGTATATCCACTCCTTTCGTATACAGTAGCGTATTGGTGGAGTGGCGTGGTTCAACAGCAGATACAGACACCCACAACCCAACGACCTCCCTCGTAATCTGTGGGGTTCTGCCGCTGTATCCAGGATTGTGTGGAAGTGACCCATCCAACCGCAACGTCACAAGCGGCTTCCAGAGATTTGATTGGAGGGAGCGATCCTCATCTGCCCTACGTGGAAATCTACCATCCGATTGGTTCTTGAACAGAGATAACTTTCCTAGATGGCGAGTTCCCTCAGCAGTCATCCTGACATGGGGTCAGCAGGTCGGACTCACCGATAACCACGCTGAAGTCAAGGGGTGGCATTATTTGAACGACATCCACACATCAGGGGACCACGTGCTCAATGCACTACCGCACATTGGGCAGTTCCATCAGAGCGTGAGATCGTCTTGATATACACACGATGCCCGGTTGAGACCCCCGACCTTGCCTTATGGCATGTACAAAGTGCTGCAAAAACTCGACGTCGAGAACGTCGGTGAATCCTGACGGTTGGAAGTTTTTATCCGACGGTCGAAATTCACCGACCTTCCTCGACGTCGAGCTGGTGCAGTACTTTGAACACCCTTTTACCCTCTGGGCTTATAAGAGATTCTTGCATTTCGCGAAGGTTGTCAATTCGCTTCGGGCAAAAAGGGCTTATAAAAAGTTTCGTAACTCACCGTTGACTGTTTGACTGCAGTCTCTTCAGTCAGACTTCAGTTTCTGTGGTTCGAATTGGTCGACGTGCTTGTACCGTGTGTGCAACCTCACGGCACAAAACCCACGGGTGCAAGGTTTCCATCCGGTGCAAGGCAATTTCGCTTGCAGGGGGTGAGCATCATGTGTACTGCTTGGCGAGGAAACCACACATGCGCATGTACTGACTTGAAATTTTAGGCCCCTTGGCCTAAATCCGCTAAAGATTAGCGGGGTCAACTAAGTCTAGGACGAAACGCGGAAGACTTTGGCGAAAGAACTATTGGCGAAATAGGCAAATGAGTTACTGAGTAATGGGGGAGTTGGATGAGAATTGGCTGATAATGGCAAGTACTAGCAAGGTTTAAGTAGCATGCAAGAGCGATTGTTTGAAAGTACTTCGTGGGACTAGAAAGTAGAAGGCAAGAAAGCAAGGGTGTCACGTGACACTATGAAATCTTGGAAATCTTGGATGAGTTGGATGAGGATAAAGTTGGGATGAGGTTGGGGGACTGTTTAGGGTAAAATACCCTTGAACAGTAAAGTACCCCGTAGCACTACCCCCCTCCCAAGGAGGCGACGTCCGCGGTGCCTGCAGACTAAAGGAATGCTTGGAGACAAACGTTGTCGGGAGACAACGAGGACGAAAGAACCCAGCTGTTGTCGGCTGCATCGTAACCACGCCAACGAACCAAGAAGTCGATGAAAGAGATACCCCCCCTAAACACGGCGACGGTGCCTGAGGATGCGCTGGTTCTGGTAGTCGGGCTCGTCGGTGTCAACAGCTTCCGGCAGTGGAGTGCGACCACGGCCCGAGAAGGTGGCGTTGGGATCGGTGTAAGGACAAAGAAACAACACGCGGAATGACGGGGGCATGCGGAAATGAGCGGGAAGGCGAAGGCGGTATGCGACTAGTCATAGTGCACGCTCAATGACGAATGGACCAATGAAGCGAGGACGAAGCTTGTTGTCCTGTGGCAGTCGGAGGTTGCGGCTATCCAAAAGAACACGGTCGCCGACTACGAACGACACCTCACGACGACTACGGTTGGTGATGCGTGCCATGCGTGCATTTGCGAGCTCAAGGTGCTTCCTCACATGATCGTGGATGAATGTGAGATGCTAGTGGAAGTTTTCCGCACGAGGGACTGTGGGTGTGAGATCGACACGAGTGGGGACATCGGGGTGCTGACCGTACAGTGCGAAGAACGGTGACATGCCTGTGGCGAAGTGGTGCGTGTTGTTGTAGGCGAACCTTGCCATGCTCATCTTCTTGTCCGAAGCTGTTGCGTCGTGCATCGTGATGCTGCGAAGAATCTGATCCAGAGTCTGGTTCACGCGCTTAGTCTATCCATCTATCTCTGGATGGTACGCACATGACATGGCTAAGCGAGTTCCAAACAGTGCAAAAAGTTGCTTCTAGAATTACGTTATCTACGAACAGTGTCGCGGCTTCCTCTGCTGTGACCTTGCCGTGCGTTGGGATGAAGTGCGTTGCTCGAGAAAACTTATCCACTACCACGGAGATAGCGTCGTGACCCCTAACTGTGCGCAGTAATGCCATGATGAAATCCATGGTAACAACCTGCCAAGGGCGGTCGGACGGTGGAATCGGCTGCAAAAGTCCTGCCTTGCACTGGCAAGATGACTTTGTACGCTGACACGTGTCGCACAAGCGAATGTAATCCTTTACGGCTGCTGCAAGCCCTTGCCAGTAGTACGTGCGACTAAGCGTCTTAACCGTCTTATCTGCTACGAAGTGCCCTGCACTAACGACGTCGTGTGCCTCGGAAAGAAGAAGCTGTCGAAGAGGGCGGTAGGCTGGAACCCAAATCCGTGTGGTACCATTCTTAATGTAGACACTACCCTGCACTTCCGCTCCTGCGGGCGGCTGCGGTGTGAAATCGGGATCTACTGTGTAACCGTGCTCGAAGAGTGCTGTGAGAAGTGGATGGCCGGTAGTGACTGTGAGACTAGCGAGCTGGCAACTAGGGCGAGTGAGCGGATCTGCTGGGTTGCGCACGCCTGGCTGGTACTCTATCCTGTAGTGAAACCTCCCCTCCATGAACTCCATCCACCTAGCCTGGGGACGACTCAGCTGCGGTTGCGATTTGAGGAAACGAAGCGAGAAATGGTCCGTGCGTATAACACTATCTGCCCCCTACAGGTAGCACCTCCACACTTTATAACACGATCGGCTGCAACCCACGTACCTGGTGAGAAAGTAGAAACGAGCATGAATGAACTATGAATGAACTGAGTACAAGTGCTAACCCTAATTAGGTTGTACCCCTTATGGGCTACCCCACTATAGCCTACACAATAAGCACAAGCTATATATTGTGACACACCCCCATAGGCAAAGTGGGGGAGTACAAGGGGTCACAAGACCAGTCAAGCAAAGCAAAGCAAATAAAGCTCAGGGTGGATCACAAAGTCACCACACATTCCGAGCACAAGTTCAAGGCCACAAGGCCAGTTCACATGCAGGAGTACACATATATATATAAGGCTATGTGTAAACAAAGAACGAGGATGAAATGACTATGAACGAAGTGAGTACAAATAGGAAACCCTAATTGGGTTGTACCCCCTATGGGATACCCCACTATAGCCTACAGAAACAAGTAAGCTATAAGTTCTGACACACCCCCATAGGCAAAGTGGGGGAGAACAAGGGGTCACAAGACCAGTCAAGCAAAGCAAAGCAAAGCTCAGGGTGGATCACAAAGTCACCACGCATTCCGAGCACAAGTTCAAAGGCCACAAGGCCAGTTCACATGCAAGATCAAATATAGAGATATACAAGAACAAGAGTATATATATGCGAAAGTACAAGCAAGGTCAAGAGGAGAGCAAGTGAGGCAAGACAGGCACAAGACCCAACTGCGTGCAGCAACGCTGATGATCACAAGGCGCAAGTGCCTTGGTGAAGACATCAGCAGTGTTGGCCTCAGAGGCCACGTACGCAAGTCGCAGCTGTCCACGCTGCTGTAGCTCACGAGCAAGAAAGTAACGAAGAGCAATGTGCTTCGTTCTGTGCTCCAGTCGCTGCTCTCGACACAAGGCCAGCATGGCCTTGTTGTCTACGTACAGGACTGGAGGAGAACGAGGCTGCTCTCCAAGGTCGGTCAGCAGGTAGGTGAGCCAGCGTAACTCCTGTGCAGCCATAGCCCCAGCGTAGATCTCAGCCTCACAACTGGAGCCGAGAACAGAAGACGAGCGGGTAGCCCGCCACGAGACAGAGCCGGAACCAAGGCTGAAGGTGTAACCCTGTGACGACCGCTGCGTAGCCTGGTCGTCAGCCCAAGAAGCGTCTGCGTGCCCAGTGAGGACCACTGGACTGCGCCCTCCAAGCACTAGCCCCATGCCCGACGTACTGCACAAGTAGCGCAACACCCTCTTCGCTGCAGCCATGTGCTCTGGTCGGTGTCTCCCAGGAGCAACAAAGCGTGCGAGAATGCTAAGAGGGTATGCGAGGTCAGGTCGTGTGCAGGTCATCAGGTACATGAGGCAGCCAACAAGCTCTGCAAACGGGCCACTCGACTCTA